CTTTTTTTCCCCAAGCCTTTGTCAGTCACTTTCTGCTTAAAGCTTCATAGTTGCCCAGGAGATAAGGAAATACAAGTGAGATGCTAAATGAGGAATGCTGGAACGCACAGAGGTGTCATTCAGCGAACATTAAACAGTTTCTGGGATTATGCCCACTGAGTAGAAATGTTGTGAACTGAACAATGGCAATTTAGAATGACTTGCAATAAGTAACACACATTTTCTTCTCCCAGTGTTATGTGATTCCACTTTGGCTGGGAGAAAAGCACCTCCAGCGGACTGAGGGAAAACCCTCGCATGGTGCTGACACACTGCAGTGCTCACACATGAGGCGTACTCTCCAAGGCCAAGGCCACGTTGCTTTCCAGGTGTCACTCAGGTACCAAGAAAACCCAAGCCTGAAGTACATTAAATATATTTTTTAAAGTTCACATACTACTAATATTAACTGACAAAAGCAAGGAAGTGAAGCTTTCTTTCTGTTCTAAACCTTTGAATGGTTTGCTGGAAGCTGGGTAAAGTTGTTGGCCTTGTGCAGCTTCATGAAACACGCTATAATACTAACACACAGCAGAAGTCTCGTATGGAAAAACTAGCTTATCTTCCTTCTTCTTCTTCCAACTTGCATCCACATGCTATGACCCCGATCCTGGAAATATTTATGCGTTTCTTTAACTTATTCTGTGATACTACTGAAATTTATGTAAATGGAATTATTTGCAGTACTAAGGATGAACAGAGGCATAAAACTGTAAAATCAGTTTAATGTTTTTAGTTTATAATGTTTAGTTTATAATGTTATAGTTTTTAGCAACCCTGTTTCTTTCTAAAAGAAAAACTCTCCGTCGTGTTGCTAGAGTACTGGTGCTAAATCTGCATAGCTGCTGATTTTTGCTTTGTTATCAGTTGCTTAAATTCGCTTAGGAATTAGCACTAGCATAGTTGGAAGCTGCTGTATAAATGGTCAAGACTACAAATAGTCAGAAGAGGAGACTATAACCTGAATGTTTTGCACATACATCACTGTCATATATGTGAAATACATTCTGTACGTATGTTCTTATTTTGCTGACTGACATACACTGATAAGGCCTAATTCTGGTATTCCAGGATACAGCAGGCATTATTTCATCTATGCTTCCAAATTATGTTGCTTAACATTCACCACAACTTTAAAGTAGTTGTATGAGACAGATAGTGATAAAAGAATGAAAAGATTTTGGGATTTATTGCTGATGTTTGAATACAAAGCACAGTTTTTATTTATTTATTTATTCATTTATTTTTGTCTGAGCATTATAAAGAATGGGCAATAACCAGCCTTGGCAGCTTTTTGAATACTGTACAAAAAGGTTGTGGTTTCAAACTGAAGCCAATATTTCTGTGTTTTTTTTTTTTAATCCTCATTTCCTTGCTCGCAAGCAAAAGGAGCTTCATGCTCCTTCCCTTTAGGTAAACACATCCAAGCAACTCAAGGCTTCTGAAGGGAAGCAGCATCCAACAATCTTTTTACAACTATGCTAACAGCATGTAAAGCACAGTTCCACCCTCCTTGTGCAGTTCCACATGGTCACCTCAGTAGAATAATGGTTTGCCCAGAGCATGAATTCCCTTGGGTGGTGACTGTCAATTGACTCCAACTGTAAAATGCAGAGAGAGCAAACAGTGGTGGGAACACATGCTGATATCCGCATCACTGCTTCCCTGCACAACGCTGATGCTGACATGTGTCAGGATGCTGGCTACCATCTCCTCCCTGGCTAATAGGAGAGTGTGTCCTAAGGTGCTTCTTCACCTGTAGTACTAATGGCAGTCCTGTTCACAGAGGCTTCTTTTCAGATCTTCCAGAAAGCCTTTATTTTTTTTTCCTTTTTTTCTTTTTTTCTTTTTTTTTTTCCCCTGTGTAAAACCATTTGGATAACTGACCAGTTATTCATGTCAGAAGCTGTGGCCATGGAGAGTATATTTTGTAACATTCTACTTACACTGTCACATACAGATGAAATTGAGAATATGTGCAGAATTATTCTGACCCTAGTACAAGGTAAACTCGAATCCTCTGTGATCTGATATGATAATGACAGGAAACTCAAACAGGTAAATATCTGACTTCCCCAGGAGGAAGTGCTGTATGCTTGAATTCAGGTGATGGTGAGTAATGAGAGGAAGTGTTCAGAGGCTCAGCTCTGCTGAAGATAGTCCTGTCCAGTGTGCAAGTTCCTTTGTGGTAATGTCAGCTAACTGTGAGCATACACGTACCAATGCCACTCCTGTCATTAATCAAGTTAGGCAGTGATTACACTTGAGCAACTTTCATGACAAGCGGGCCTATAGACTCCAATCAGCAGATCCTCATCCTGGTTTTGCACTATGTATTGTTTGGAAGGGAAATAAGATCATAGGTGAGTGTCTGCTGTTACACAGAGAAAGAAAATGGTTGGAATTATTCAACATTGCTTGCAGCAATCCTCAAGTTCAGTAGCTCATGAAAGGCAGCAGTGCAACAGGCACTAATCAGGTGTCTGTCTACTGCTCTGAAAGGCAGGGAATTGTTTCAGTTCTCTCATTGATGCTGGGAGACCTCTCCCGTGCATGTGGGTGTTTCTATTCTGTTGCTACAGTACATCTATTATCATTAATTCGACATTATTGAAAGTGAAATCCAGTATGTGGATATTTTTACACGCTTAGTACAATAGCAAATGTATCAAACATGCTTAAAATTAGTGCATAATATTGAACTTTTATACGGCTTGTTCCCTGTGCACTGATACTGCACTGTTCTTCTCTGATGGACTTATTTGACTGGAATACTCACTGTGTAGACTCCAGAAAGTAAAGGAGGGAGTCTGATACACAGGTACAACATATGTGCACTAAGCACATATCTTATAGCATCTTCTTTCCTCAGAGACCTCCAGCTGCAGCTGTGAATCTTGAAACACTTTTTCCTATTTTAAATTTGCCAGTAACTGTATCACTTCAGTAAAGCTTTGCCCAAATTCACACTGGAATTGCAAACAGGATCAAAGTCTGTGGCGTAATTAAACCCATCCCACTCACAAGAATTCAATCACTTTTCCGAAAGCTACTTCGTATCTACAAAATGAGTTCGCTTGTATGTGCTATTGTCATCTGGTTCCCATTATCTAAGCTTTGAGACTTATATATGAGGAAACATTAAGTAAAACATTTTTATTAGACACTTTTAAACTACACAGGAAAATTGAGAAAGTATTCAGCAAGTAGGGCAGTAGGTTAAGTGAACTAGTTTTACCTAAGGCAGAATTTGCACCCTAGATCACATGGTGTGACAACGTGGCTGCACAATTTCAGACATAGCCAGAAACGACTGCATCCAGCTGTGTGGTAATAGGTTAGACTCTGGCTTCGAAGTCAGAGATTCAGTAAGAGCCTAAACTTGGGTTCTGTGACCTTCAGTTATGCTCTGAAGGCTTGCTTTCTCCAGAAGTGTTTCTGAAGACCTGGATGATAGCTGTATACATGCTACAGAATACTTGGAATTAAAATAGTAGTGTTGGCATCATGTGCTGCATGGGCTGTTAAATCCATATCGCCTCCTAAGTCTACAATGTGGGCTCTCTAGATTTAGTGATTCTTCACATTGTTCCAATTCCTGCTTAGTTGTTCTGACGTGGGCGTCTGGAGCAGCCATAAAAAACGTCAAGCTTCTTATGGATGCTTCACAGTCCTATAGCTGTGATAGATGCAAACTTTTATTTCCTCCACTAGAAAGAGTTCTCATTTGCCAGCAGAATTTCAGGATGTATAAAAATGCTGTAGTTTTCTGTATTTTATCTTCAGAAATATTTATCATGTACTGGTGTGAAGAAAGAAGTCCAATTGGCCAAGGTCAGTCCGAGTTCCAAAGAACAAAGGAAATGGAGCATGGTAGTGGGGAATATGGACTATTATAACAATGCACAATTATCTATACTTAATAAAAAAAAAAAAAAAAAGAAAAAATGCATTCTCATGTGACATAGTAGAACTGTATCTGAATATCAGCATCACCACGCAAGTAAGAATTAAGATTTTTTAAGAGCTTTTTAAGAATAGTAAAACAACAGCTTTAGCAAATGTGCTAGCACACTGGCAAGTAAGCTACTGCTTCCTGTGGTTCTGTACTTTATACATCCTCCTCTAAAATATGGCCAAAGGCCTCTGGCTCATTTGATTAGCAGTTGCTCAACTGTCTTGGTCTATGGCCATGCTTGGTTGTGCTCATCAATGGGGCTCTGCAGAATGCAAAGCAAGGATTAGTTTGGCTACAGGCTAACTCTTGTATAGTTTAAGTCAGCCAGAATCATGATGACTGGCGTTCTGAATGTTGGAAGTTTTGACACAAGCAGCTCAAATGCCCTTGGTTAATTATTTTTTTTTATTGATATTTCTAAAGCACCCATCTGTGTGGTATCAGTGCTCACCTCTCTTATGTTGGAGCAGGATTAAACGAATGTTTGCACCAAAAAGCTGCCCACAGCTGGAAGCCACTCATTTGCAAGAATCTCACTGAGGTCAGATTGGTAAGCAGAAGGGCAGTGCCAGGCACGTGTTGCTCATAGGTAGCTAAATTTACCTCAGTGACCACCAGGGACCCTCACAAGCTGAATGGCTCATCAGAGGCCTCCTGTCCCTGTGCCATTATGGCATCTACTCAGAGAGGAAGGGCAGAGAAGGAAGGGGATCAAGCATTTCAGACAGCTCCAGCTGCCCACTGGCATGCCCTGTGCTTGCGTCATTCCTTGGAACAGACTTGCTTCAAACAGTGCCTGCATAGCATTTAGCAGGTCTTCTAAAACCTAGAGGGCAGGGATAACAATGGTTGTTTTAAAAGGATCAGAGAAATGAAAACTGCCTGAAGACATGCCCCCGTCCTTGGGCACAGGGAGAGTAACTGTCAAACTGAAGTAACAGGACAGGACAACTGGAAAATATTCAGAAAATTTATTTTTGGAACTGCTATATTCACTTGATACTTAGCATCTATACTTTCTGAAGAATAAATTGTGTTGACGTCCAACCCCATCACCTGCAGCTCCAGTATCCGGTCCCAGCCCTGGTAGAAAAGGGCCGTTTGGTATAGAAGACACAGTGTGATACAGAGAAGCAGCAGATGAAGCAAGAACAGCATTGTGGATGCTACCAGGGAGCTCAGTGCCCACTGACGCAGCAGGGCCTGCTTTTTTCTTCAGAGGGCTTCTGCTCAGGTGGCCCTCCTTCAAATCCAGGTTCATCAAGAATGCACCTGATGCTCTCTTTTTTATACCAGTACTACGCTTGAATCTTCTTAGCAGATGGGGATAATCTCTCTTGAAATAGGGGTTGTAATAGTAGAGAAACTACAAAATGCAAAGGGGAAAATTTACTCACCACCATTTCAAGATTGGAAAAGACAAAGACACAATAACTGGTAATTAGAATCCCAGAAACAAGCAGAGAGGACTCTCAGGGGCATTTTAGACATGAATACCTGTGAATAAAATGTTATGGTACAGTTCTGTTAAGTACAAGGTCTCTGAAATTAATGCCTCCTGTTTATTTCATTGGAAACCACAACAGATATAAAGCACAATAAAACTATTTGATAGAATAAATTCTCAGCTACAAAACACTCTTTCAACACAGCCACCACCATTATCGGTGTATTTTTTTCCTGAGATGAACAAGAGCCTGAGTGCCACGCTTGGAGAGATCTGCACAGCTGTCCAGAACCAGGCCTTCATTCATGTCTCTGTTGCTACTGCTGAAACATACCATCCACCAACACGCTGTGCTGACATCCAGCGTTTGGTCTCCATAAAAGTTGAGCAAGTGTCCATGAATGTCAAGGGGAACCATTTTTTCAGCCTTTAAGAACTCAGTGACCATGTCAGATGCCATTTTGTCAGACTGCCCGTCTACTGTTACGTGTCACATAACAAGAAAGTTGAATGGAATATCAGGGTGGGAGGTTCATCCTCTACTGCCATACGATGTAAACCCACTTCTGACACTACGGGGCAACCTAATTCAATGGGAGACATTACTTTCAGAGCAGCCATTGTAGTAACCACCCTTGCTTAAACTCTTGCCATTTGAGAGCAGCAGAGAAATGTAATATTTTCAAAAGCATAACAGTGGGTTTAGAAACCCAAATACCACCAACTTTCAGGCATCTTATTTATACTGAGTGACCACCAATCCCCAATCCCACTAGTCCCAAGAGTATTTCATGGGTAGGGGGATCCCAGGCGGACTATGTACCTTGCTAGAAGTGGAAACTGCTGCTTCGTCTGCTTGGAATTTAGCACGTGAAGCAGATCTTGGCAAATCTCCTTCCATAATGAAGAATCCGTGAAGATGAAGTTGACGAATGAAAGTTTTCATGCTGCCAATGCTGAAAATTTGCAGACATCCTCTCCTTGCCAGCACTTCCCTTTTGAAGAGTGTTTCCTCGATCACTATAGAGTTTCCATCATCAGCCCACGAAATGGACTGAAAGTACTTGCTTTCAACAATTTCCCAGAGTTTTTTCAGAAAGGAGAAGGATGCAAAGTCATTGGCTTTGCCAGAGCACTTTTCAGGGAGATTAAGAGGTAGTCTGTTTGAGGAAGCTTCTTCACATGAACGTTGAGAAGTGTTTTCTGCTTTTATAGATCCTAAGGCAGCATCCTGAGCATCTGCTTTACCATGTACTTGAAGGACAGAAAAAGCTGAGGCTGCCGAGTTAATGTCCGAAACAGAAACACTTGGTGTTTCTGATAAAGATATCTCCATTTTAATGTTTAATTATTTAATGATTAATTTAATGATCAATTCTTCACTCAGGAATTTCTGTCCGTGTTTCTCCAGACTATGAGGTTTGTCCTGCCATCAGCAGGATGAAGCATGTGGCTCCCGTGGTGTGGAGAGCAAAGAGAGGACTGGGACATTCAGAAACATCACTATGGTGACTGTGCTGCACCACAGTGACATCACAGACAGGTGACTGCTAGCAAAATGTGTCAATGACATACTTGTTAATTAAGGAAATATGATTCCAGACGTTTATGCTGCCTAAACCAACAGGCAAACAGATATTTATAATTTCCCAAAGGAAGACTTATTCATTAATATCTTTGTTGGGCACATTTCTGTAGGGACTTAGTTTCTGCTTGTGAACCTTTCTAGAGCTAGTGCTCCCTCTTTGATCTGCTTCTAGACAACTTTATGCAAACTTGATAAGCTTTCAGTTTTTACTGAAGATCTCTCGTTTCTGTAATCTAAGCTTTTGATTAAGCAGTACCTCTTTGAAACCAGTATGCTTGCCAATTTCTGGTTCAGATTTAACAGGATGTTACCATCTTCATCTTGGCATATGGATGTTTGATTTGAGAAGTATGCTCAGATTTCCTATCCTAACATCTAATGTTCCATTTTCAGTCTGCACTGCAACGAGCTGCTGAGTAGCCTTTGCTACTGGCGGAGCTCTTATGTTAGCCACACACTGCTCTCTTGCCGAGGTTTATTGAATGGAGCACTGGTGATGGGACTCTTGGCTCTCCTGAGCTGGAGCAAAATAGACAAAAGACATTCTTGATGAGGGCACTGAGATCTTTCAGTATGGAGAACAGGCTCAGGGGAGACCTTATCACTCTCTACAACTCCCTGAAAAGACGTGGTAGCGAAGTGGGGATTGGCCTCTTTTCCCAGGTGATAGGATGAGAGGTAGTGGCCTCATGGAGTTCAGGTTGGATATTAGGAAACATTTATTCTCGGAAGGAGTAGTTAGGCACTGGAACAGGCTGCACAGGGAGGTGGGGGAGCCACTGTCCCTGGAGGCATCCAAGGAAATTCTAAATATGGCACTGGTGGACACAGCTCAGTGGGCATGGTGGTGATGAGTTGATGGCGGAACTGCTTTTTTTCTAACCTTAATAATTCTATGATTCTTAATAGAATAAATTATGCTTGGAACTAACTGTGAAACGATGACTCATCTCCAGAGTTCCCATTCTGTCAGTGGCTGCTTGTAACTAAATATTGGCAATGTCTCTTATTTTCTTCGAAAAAAGCAAAGTCTTCTCAGTTTACTTTCAGTCTGACCATTCACATAAAAATAACATTAAAAACTATTTCCAACAGAAATCCGTCAGGATTTAATCCATTCTTTTAAAAGGATCTAATCCTGTAAAGCTCCAGATCAATTACTCTGGGAGCTAAAGCTATCAAAAATTGTGGTGTTTCTTTTATTTTTTTCAAAAGCAGGATAGAATACATTAAATTTTCATCAGATATCTGGCCAACATTCTATTTTCATTAAAAATGTGCTTTATTTACCGGAGGATCCAAATAAAATATTGCCTCCTGTTATTAAATGATAATTCGATAAGGAATTTGAGTTTTTAGAGGAAAGCAGAGCGTCTCTTTCTATTAGACCCTTTGGGCAGTGGCATAATATTACCACTAATGGTGGTTGCCTAGGAAAGTTTGAATAGCAGTCATTCTCATAACGGAAGAAGTACATCTGAGCACACAGCTACCCTTCATTAACACCTTTTTAATCATCCCAGTGCCTGCAGGACAGCACATTTTATATTACTCTGTTAGAAGTGATGGACACTTACAAGACAACGATCTGCAGCTCTATAAAAAAAAAAAACAACAAACCAATTTCTATGTTCTGTGCTGTAATTAGGCAATTGAGCACAGTCAGCTTGAAGGAAAAAAAATCTCCCATTTCTTACTCCGTGAGAACTAAGGCGTCTCTACCACTAGAGGGTGAGACAACTACAAACCAAGTACTGAAGCCTAAGTCCTTTCTGAGGAGGGTACAAATCTAAATTAACACGAGGACAGTACCTCAGGTGATACTTTGGTTATTCATTTTCAGAAAGGTGCATGCTGTGGACATAGTAAGTATTTTTCTGTTGATTTCACATGCTTCAATGCAGAGCTGAAAAGAAATATGGGAACAATCTGTCATAATGAACAACAGTGGAACAAAACTTACTGTCTAGACTATAGATTTTGGGTCTTGAGAGGCAGAGTTACAAAAATAAATTCTGATCTTGATTCAAGTGTTGAATCAACTGTTCTGCTTCAAGAAAGAACTACTTTTGGCTTAGAATGCCTCCCTCCCTTGTAGTCAGAAATCTGAAAAACAGTTCTCTGCCTCGTTCCCTTTGATCAATACCGTCTATACTGAAGGCTTTCTTAGTTGTTTTCTTGCAGTTTGACTTCTGCAGTACTTTTTTTCCCTATCACTATGAGACGGTCTGATGCAGTTGCCCCGTGTATCTTTCAAAATCTTTGTTTAGTGCAGTTTAGGATGGCCGCATGTTTTGTAGTCCTGGCAGAAAACTGGAACTAGTTCCTACTAACATGCCCCGTGTTTCTTGACAAAACATTTTACAAATAAGTTTTGATGCCTGCAGTCTCTCAGAAGATATATTTCTCTGAAGGCTTCCCTGACACCAAAAGTATACCATTCACTTTCAATTGATAAAAGAGTGATTGATAACTCAGAGATTATACAAATCAATATGCTGTTTCTTCAGGAACAATGTTTTCTGTTTTAAAACAAAAATGAAGTCCCACAAGGTGCAGTAACATCAAGTTATTTTTCTGTTCTCGCTCTTACAAAGGTCTCTGAAGAATTCCAACTTTAAATGCTTTGACAGTGCCTGTGTCTTGCTGCTATGTTGTTGTTTCTTTGGCAATGTGAAGGTCCAAATTCAGCCTCCTTCTTTTTTCCTGAAGAAAGACTTTGATATTGAACTTGCAAAAAATACTACAAAAGTTTTGTGTGAGGTCAGGAGAAACAAAACCAAGAGTCTTTTTAAGCAGTAGTAAAAGAGACAAAATCAAAGAAGAGTACTGTAGGCAGTTCTAAACTATTGCCTGGGAGACTTTAGTAGTTCATCTGATGTTAAATGAAAGATGACTGTGACAAGAATTACAGTGACATTTCGAGATGCTAGTTCTAGTCAGAAAAAAAGCAGCATCCACCTTTGTTTAGGCGATTACAGTTCAGTGCAACAGATGGATCAGAAATTGGTTGTAAATCACTTTTTGTGATTATCAACAGCATTTAATTTTTAGGGAAATTAACTGGTGAGTTTGTGAAGTTACATGTTGGATTTTGCATTTTTCGGGCCTGAAATCTTATCATGCCTGGTTTAGCTGCCTGCCCGGATGCTTATTGGCTGCATACTTATGACACAAAACTAACCCTTGTTGGATCTTCTCAAAGTAAATATCATTAGTAAGCCAAAGTTAGATAGAAACTTGCTCTGCTGTTTATATGTTAGTTTACTTGTGATTCTTGCACAATATTTACATAATTTTAGAGAAACTACAGAATAATTTTCCTTTTTTTTTTAAGGTATATATAATTGAGATAATGTTGGCTATTCTTCATTTTTCAAAGATTTGAAGTGAAACAAATGATGACATTCTCTTGCGCTGACATTAAAAAACCCTGGCCCTTTTCTATGGGCTCTTTTCTTTCAGTGTCCTAAATACCATAGAAGTAATAGAGCGTTTATAGTTGGAGGCAATGACTGCTTTCTTCATTTCAGAAGAGATTTTGAACCCCAAACCTATCCAGAAGCTTTACCGGGAGGTAGAAATCAAATCATATGGAACAATGTTCAGCTAGAACATTGTTTTGCTACTCTAGATATTACATAAAGTACAAACTGCTAAAAAGTACTTAGTAGCTATTTAAATATGCTGCAAGAATATGTATCACACCAATTATTTTACTTTGTAATTTTATTTTATTTTGACAGTGGAACATAGCTGTTCTAGCTCGGAAAAACTGCAAGTCTCTCCTGCTTTTATCTCAAATTGTCACAGCACCAACAGTAGATGTTAGCTGCCTACTAGTTTCTAAGGCTCAGAGCCACGCCTGGTGCCAAGATAAATGACTTAAAAACTTACTATCAAATTCAATCACAAAACACTGTTAACAGAAAGGCCTTTTCAGTTGAGAGGCAAGAGTTGTGACTTGATCTTAAAGAAAAAAATGAGATTAAAAAGCCCGGTCTTGGTTGCAATTTCTAAGGCATTGCTTTTTTTCTCCCTATCTCTTCTGTAATGAAAATACTTGAGGCAGCAAAACATTCTTTTTTTGTATGATGCTTGAAATTGGTTAGGAGAGGGCTGGTGGTGTCTAACTTGATTAACAGAAAAAATGGTAATAAAATTCCTAAAGGAAAAAGGATGCTTGAGAGAGAAGAGTGCTCTGGCATGGCTCATTCTTATGATCTAGTTTTGGTATTATTGGTCTACTCGTTCTGGTGCTGCAGTAGAGCTCTGCTCATATGGATAAGTGATGGAGGGGCTTTGGGCCTCCAGCAGAGGAAATGATCTCCCCAAGACTAGATCTGACTGAATGCATCTTTTCACTGCAGCACATCTTGTGGAGCCACAGCGTTCTACATTTTTTCAGCCCTTTTCAAACTGGTAAACTAAAGCTGTTTATATTGTTTTGGGTAGCACTGTCACAGCCAGGAGAAAACAGCTGTTTGAATGCTGTTTTCCTTTCATCTGGTGTCCCCCTCCACATGGACTCAAGCTGTCTTGGAACAGAAGGGCTGCTGCTTTGGTGCCACTTCCCTGCTCTGGGGCTTGGGGAACACTTCTTACCCTGTCTGGCTTGCTTCTTTCCTGCCTGTGTGGCTTGGCCACCAGAGTTTGCCGATCTGATATTCTTGTCCACAGAAACACAAATAGGAGTGGCAGGTAACAATGCAGTGGATATCTGTTACTTGTTTCAAATGCAGCTGTCA